TGCTAGCTGGGGAGAGCTTCATTCTCTGTTCCCGTTTTTCAGGATAGCACTGGGGCTGTGCATGTTGGCTTATGTAAAAATTTACCCCGGTTATTTCGCCAGAGATGGAAAACAGTATCTGTTTGGTATCCTAGAGTTCAAAGGGCTTGGTGCAGCACCCACCAGCTGGCTGAGGTTGATGTGGTCACATTGACCTCTGGTGGCTGCAGCCTCAGCGTGCAAGGAAAGCACCGAGGGAAACTGGGTGGGTTTGATGAGCTGCGGTGTGCTGCAGCTGAAATGCAGTTGGGATGCAGTCCCAGCCTGCTGACATGGAGGCCCTTAGCCATGGGGCAGCTTTGGAGCAAAGAAGCCCACCTTAGTGACTGAATCCCATAAGCCTGCTCTAATTCAGCTCTCACTTGCCACCCCACACACCTGGATGCCCTGATGAGGACGGAGATGTGTTGCCAACACCTAACCAAGGAGCTCCCACATGCTTCTCCCTCTTTTAGCCCCAGGCAATGGGTGTGTGCGTGAGTGGGAGGAATACTGAAGGAAGCATTCGGTTGTTTTCCTATCTCCACACACATGTGTGCATTTCCTTCCTGCCATGAAGGCCTTGTTCCCCTTTTCTGCAGACATCTGCGCCGCCATGGAGAGAGGAAACCACTGCTGTCCTGTTGTGGCCCAGAGAAGCGTTGGGGAGATGAGCAGCCAGAGCCTTTGCACAGGCTGTTGATGTAAGCACTGAGCTCTGTGAGCGATAGTAGGAAAAATAAAAGTGTTTTTTTATTTTTTGCGTCTGTTAGTTAAGCTGGTGTGAGACAGTGATCAGACCGTGCTGGAGTCGAGAATTCTGTTTCACGACATCTTCTGAGCATTTGTTCCACAGAGGAACAAAACTGTTGAGAGGTTTTGTGACACCGAGTGGTGTTGGGCAGCCAGTATGGGGAGAGATGGTTCAGGGGGGGGTGGTTTCAAGCTCTCTGAAGTCGACCGTGGAGACCAGCTGGAATCTCACAGAATCACAGAATCACAGAATCACCCGGGTTGGAAGGGACCTCAAGGATCATGTAGTTCCAACCCCCCTGCCTAGCAGGGCCACCAAACATACACATTCAGATCAGGTTGCCCAGGACCCCGTCCAACCTGGCCTTAAACATGTCCAAGGACGGGGCATCCACAATCTCAACATAACTCCCTCCTGAAAAATCATTGGAAGGTGTAAATCTTCACAAACCCCATTCTATGATTTTATGATCCCACGAAAACCAGAAGTATTTTATTGAAGGCATTACGATTAGCTCATGTAAAGTAGGAGGATTCTGGGCAGGTTTATAGAACCTCACAGAAGATCCATAGTGTCGTGGGCCATATATGCTAAACCCTTCCTCTCTCGGTGGAAACACTGCATGGCTCACCGTTTGCTGGCCTGTCATAGGTTTCCTGTGTGAGCCGATGGTGTTTGGAAAGTCTTAACCGTGCAACTATTTTGGTCAGGATTTGAAAAAAAAAAAAGAAAACAAAACACGAAACCACCAACCCAGCCAGACAACAGAGTGCACAGCGGCATTCTTGGTATGAAGTCAACCGTATCAGCACAGGAGTTGGTACTACTGATAGAGCCAGTGTGGAAACGTGATACCTGGCTGTGTGTGCCGTGTGGTGACATTGGGACAAACTGGTCTAATTTTTGGGTTATGCTGGGGGACTCGATGATTCGTATGGGTTCCTTCTGATTTGGGATATTCTGATTCTGTGATTGAAAGTGGGCTGTCTGGTACAGCTGTCTTCCAAAGGGTGAGATCCTCACCACTGTGCCTCTGTTCCATGGTCAAAATATGGGGTGGGACATCTCCATCCTCTCTGGAGCTCTCTGTTGGCCTTTGGGGTGGTCTGCAGCTCTCAGAACTCCTGCCCAGCTCTGAGAATAGATGTGACAGATAACACTTGATGTGGGAAGCACTCTGTCTGATTTCTGTCTGATTTCTGTGTGCTCTGAGTCACAAAGCACCGCAGCCATTGCCGGTGGGGTCAGGGCGGGTGGAGGAGAGCCTTCCTTAAGTTTGCTTCTGTCTGGGTGAATGAGAAAAACCAAAGCTGTTTGGGACTTTTATTGTAAGGGGCAAAGATCTTATCTTCTATCACTACATAATATCCTGCTCAGGAAATCTTTTCTCTAGAGAGAGAGAGAGAGAGAGAGAGAGAGAGAGACCTGGGATGTTTGCAAGAGAATAACTAGCAGGCACAAATCGACAGGGCTTGAGTCAGAACCCTTCCCTGCAGGCAGCCTTGCTCCTACTTGTTTTTGATCACTCATTTGCAACTGGATGCCTCTGGCTGGAGGTAAGGGCTGGAGATGAAGCCGTGTCCTGCCTGAGGACCTGGCTGGTGGTCCTGCATCCATAGGAAGGGGGCAGTGCGACGTGGGGGGGGGGGGGGACCCCTAGCAGGGGGAATGGGTGAGTCAGCAGAGAATTAAAACACCCAGGTGTCAGCAGGTGGGACAGATGCCATGTGAGAGGAGGCGGTGTTTGCCAGAAGCCTTGCATGTGCGTGTGCCTGGTGTTTGCTCACTGGGTGTGTAACAGCAAAAGTGGTGAAGCTGTGTGATGTACAGAGGAAAATGTTGGGAGTGAGTCTCTAAACTTGTCTTAGATGGGGTTGTGCTCAACTCTGAAAAGGACACGGTGGGGACCAGAGGAAGTGCCTCCACCAGCCCCTGCAGGAGAAACAGAAAGGTTTGGGTCACGCAGGCGGTGGATGCCCCATCCCTGGAGACATCCAAGTTCAGGCTGCAGAGGCTCTGAGCACCCTGGTAGAGCTGTGGGTGTCCCTGTTCATTGCAGGGGAGTTGGACCAGATGGCCTCTAAGGGTCCCTTCCAACTCAAATGTGTAATTCTGTGATTCTATGATTTTGGGTCCAGGGTGAAACCTACAGCTCTTTTATGGTGGGAGGCTTGATTCATCCCTGGAGCTTGTTCTACACTTTGTTGATTTTCACCTCTCTTGGACCCCTCCTTGTCCTCGTGGCATGGAGCTGGTTTGGGCAAGGAGGAACATGGCAGTGGTGAGAGCAGTCCTTTGTGTGCCCATTGGGGCAATCCAGCCCTGCTCCTGGGGTGGCTGTGCCTGCTGGAGCTGGGCTGGAGGAAGGCTCCCTGCCAAGAAGCCCTGTGCTGGGTCTGGGCTCAGTCACACTTCCCGGGGATGCCTCCACACCCAGCTCCACCTGCACACATTGCTGAGGACCAGGGACCGAAATTAAGGCTGGAGCAATTATTCTTGACCTCCACGGGGCTTTTCCCAACCACTCCCACTTTCTCTTTTTGCTTGAACCCCCTTCCATCCAGAACTGGCCCTACATGTGGAAGGTTCAGGATACAATTTCTGGAAACCCTTCCAACAAAAGAGCACCGCCTTTGTACTCGAGGGAGGCCACACCGTGTACCCCCATTTAACCCCATTCAACTGTAGGGATCTGAAAGAGGTCGTATTTCAGAAGAGAAGTTGCCGGTGAACCACATCCTTCCGGAGATCAGCTTTAGTCCGGAGCAGCAGCTGGAAGAGACAGACGGTCCACGGGCTGAGCAAAACCCTTCCCCGGCTCCCCCAGGTGAGCGGCGGCCGAGGGGAGGCTGCCCCCGCCCCGCCGGTGAGTGTCGGCGAGGGGAGGGCGCGGGGCCGAGCTTCGCATTGCCGGGGGGTGCGGAGGAGGGAGGAAGGGAAGGAGGGAGGAAGGGAGGGGGAAAGGTGCAGCGGGGTGGGGAGAGCGCTGCAGACACACCTGCCGGGGCGGGAGCGGCGGAGCGGGGCGCGGAGATCGGAGCGGGATGGCAGGTAAGGCTGAGCTCCCCGCAGCCCTCGGAGCGCGTCCCTTCCACTTACTGCCTTTGTCCCCCAGTGTGGATTCTGCTTCCGAATGTGGATTTTGCCCCCGAGTACAAATTTTGCTCCCGAGTACAGATTTTGCCTCGGCGACCGCGCTGCTGGAGTTTGTTCCTCTTCCCCTCTTGCCCTCTACGGGTTTCCGACTGCCTTGCGCTCCCCACCCCGATCCCAGGAGGATCCCTGCTCCCGGCCCTGCCTGCCGAGAAACTTCTCGCACAGCTGCCGTGGGTTTTGTGGAGTGAAACTTGGATTTGAAAGCATAAACTTTGACTTAGAGCCCGAGGAGCAGGGCTCAGAACAGCACTTCTGTTGCATCCTCGCACATACTCATCTCCCTGTGGGACTGAGCCCATTTCTGCAAGAAATGCAGATTGTTTTCTTTGTTCAACCTCCTTGTCAGCAGGATGATCCAGATTTGTAGCAGTGACTATGCTAAGCCTTTTGGTGCTGGGAATCAGACAATTGTATATCTTTTGTGGTTTCGAGAGTCCCCTCGTCCTGTTATCCTCCACCCACCAGACCCTGAGCCTTCTGTAGTTCTGTTTGGAGGATTACCTTCAGCACACCTCTCTCAGACACCCTCCTTGCTCTGCTGATTGGCCTTCTGAAATAGTGCGATACCATTCCCAACAATAGAGGAAAAAAAAAAAAGAAAAGAAAAAAAAGAGGGAGATTTTCTTCCTTCTGCCTTCATGCAACATGAACCTCTGCACTGCGCGAGTTGGACTCAATGATCTTTATGTGTCCCTTACAACTTGGGATATTCTATGATTCTATGACTGCTGCTCAGGATGTTGGTGGCTGGGGTAGGAAAGCTGCCCTCGGTGCCAGCACCAGAACAGGAAGTTATGGCACCCTCTGTGAAGGAGTTGGATGTACTTTGCCTGCTATAAAAGGATTTGTGCTGGCTGGTGTCGTGAGTGTTGTTTCTCAACTGAAAATTGATGCTCTGGTTGGGTTGATACCTGAGTGAGAAAAGAGGGCCCTATGGATACCTGCTCCATTGCTTCATCCATGGGGCACATCCGCCAGCTGTAAGAGGCTTTGGCCTGTTGACTTCAGGAGGTCCTTCTTGCTTTGGTAGACGGAATGATTGCCTTGTAGCTTTGCCTTGTTGCTGAGTATTTGCAGTGCTCTGCACACACGTGTGGAAGATGCATGGAAGATACACTTTTGACATCCCCCCTTTGGCTCCACTACCTGCAGTCAAGCTGCTCCACTGCACACTGTTCTTGAGACCTTCAGTTCAGTCACTGTTGCCTGGAGGCGGTGCACAGGACAAATGGATCCCCAGAGAAACCCACCCCTCTTACCCCAGTATGAGAAACATGTCTCAGGCGTAAATACTTTTATGCTCGGGTTTCCAGTTCTCTGGAATAGGGGAAGATGTGTGGTGGTCTGGGGGATTCAGGTTGGATATTAGGAAAAATTTCTTCTTACAAAGAGCAGTGCTGCAGTGGCACAGGCTGCCCAGGGAAATGGTGCACTCACCGTCCCTGGAGGTGCTCAAGAACCGTGTGGATGTGGCACTGAGGGACGTGGTCAGTGGGCATGGTGGGCAGGGCTGATGGTTTGTCTGGGTGATCTTAGAGGTCTTTTCCAACCTTAATGATTCTATGATTCTACGATTTAAGAACACTATGGGGTGAAGATGTTATCTTCCCCAGTCTTCTTATAGTATATGCTCCTAAATTCCTTATGTCCCAATGCCTCCCGCACGTATAAGACAGTAGTTGAGCCTGCTAAGATCCTACTGGACAGAGTTGTTTGGAAAATAACTTTTGACATATCTGAGTCCTGGTTGATGATTGAACCGTTTGCAGAATCATACCTTGACTTGTCCTCCCACGTATTTTATCCTTTGCTTATTCATTTCTCCTCAGATTTTCTCTTTCCTTTTATCTTCCCAGCCCTGGAGAATGCCTCTCTCCAAGCCTGCAGCCTCTCGGAGCAGGAAGAGGAAGAAGATGCCCTCTGGGAGAAGATAGAGAGCGCACGGCACCAGCTGACCCGCTCCCTGAACCCTGCAAAACTCACCCCGTACCTGCGCCAATGCCGTGTGATAGATGAGCAGGATGAAGAGGAGGTGCTCAATTCATGCCGATTCCCTTGCAAAAGCAACCAGACAGGTGGGAGAAAGCACAGACTGGCAGGCAGTGCTCCCCCAGCATTCCTTTCTCCAACCCCTCCATTTCATGGAGGGAAGTAGAATTGGTGGAGATGCTTTTTTGAATTGCCCTAACTCCTTGTCTGTTCTTCCAGGCTACCTGATGGACATCCTTCGGCGCCGGGGGAAGCGAGGCTACGAAGCCTTCCTGGAGTCTTTGGAGTTTTACTACCCAGAGCACTACACACGACTAACAGGGAGGGAACCGGCCCAGCGCTGCTCCATGATCCTGGGTAGGGGCAGTGCTCGTCTTTCCTTCAACTGCTGCATGGGAAGGGCCAGAAATATGTGTATGGGCGCGTGCATGCATAAACCCCTGGTTCATGATCCCTGTGTGCAAGGAACCTTGACAGTCGTGTGCTCTGGATCTGGCAGGGTGCGGACTGAATGCATGCGTGCAATGGACCGAGGGGACCAAATGCGTTTGTGTAATGGTCCGTGGTGCCGCTAACCCAGGCTGCACGCCTCCAGGAGGCTGTGACACCCTGTGATGGGTGCTTTTTGGGAGTTACCCATTTCAGCAGCCATATCTGAGTCTTCTTTGTCTCCTACAGATGAAGAAGGCCCCGAGGGGCTAATGCAGTTCTTGCTGGTGGAGGTGAAGAAGATGAGGGCTCAGAGGAAAGAGCACCTGCTGAAGGAACATCAGCTCCAGGCAAAGAACCAGACCCTGGAGCAAGAGCAAGCCCGGCTGGAGCAGCGACTGCAGGAGCTCCTGAAGGTGCAAGAACGTTGCCAGCGACTGCGGGAGGAGTGGGACTCCAACAGTGTGGAGCTGCTGAGGCTGAAGGATGAGAATTACATGATGGCCATGCGCTATGCACAGCTCTGTGAGGAAAAGAACATGGCTGTGCTGCGGAGCCGTGACCTGCAACTGCTGGTAGGGTGTTGGGAGATGGCTCATCAGTGGGACAGGGGGGTCCCATAGCAGTGGGGTTGAATGGCCCAGGGGGACATTCAGCTTGCCCATGTCTTTGGAGACATTCATGGTCAGGCTGGAGGGGCTCTAGGTTACCTGATCTGGCTGTAGGTGCCCCTGTTCATGGCAGGGGAGTTAGACTTGCTGCCTGTAGCAGCGCTTTGGCCAAGAGTCATCCCCCTCCCTGGCACTCCCCATTGCCTCCTTGTCCTCTGCTGACGTTTCGGAGACTCATGCTGCATACCTGAAAGAATTAATGACACTGCACTCCAGCTGCCAAGCTCTCAGCTCCAGCAAACATGCACCCGTTTCCTGTCTGGGCAAGGACCAAAATACCTGAAACCTCTTAATAACCCAGCTCCAGGAGGTGCCTCCTGGCATTCCCCTCCTGCTTTGGGCTTCTCGCACAGCCTTGCGGTTCTCATTCCCTATCTCATTCTGCTCCTGCCAGAATCCTTCCCTACCTTTTATCTGTTGTTCCTGCCTGCGCTCGTTCTCCCAGGCCTCCTCTGAGCAGAGAACTGAATTGCTTGTGGATGAGGCACTGGCATAGGCTGCCCAGGAAGGTGGTGGATTCACCATCCCTGGAGGTGTTCCAGGACCACGTGGATGTGGCACTGAGGGACATGGTCAGAGGGCATGATGGGGATGGGCTGATGATTGGATTCAATGACCTTAGTGGTATTTTCCAACTTTAATGGTTCTATGATTCTATGATCCTAACAATGGGATGGAGAAACCCTGTGGAAACAGGGGCACTCTGCTGTGGATGTATCTCAGCTGCTCCAGATCTGGGAAGCCCTCGAGGAGACTCCCAGCTACCCACGCTGGCAGCACACCTGGGGGCCCTGGTCCATGCAGTGTCAAGGCCAGTTGCACAGTGGATGCCCTAAGGTAGCAAGAAAGTTGTTGCAGTGAGGAGTCAGAGATCGAAAGTGCTTATGCAAAAATTGGATGTATGTGCACCCTCCTCTCCTCTCCTGCAGGGAAAAGCTTTAGTGTGCAGTGTGCTAACTTTTCCCTAGCTGAAGGATTCTCCCTCATGTGGTTGCCCAGCTTGCTTTCCTCACCTCCAGGCCATTTTTCTGCCCAGCTCCCATTCTCCCATGGCAGCAGAAGTTCCAAGGCACATTTGTCAGGCTATGTGTTCTCCCTGGCTCACAGGTGGATCAGCTGAAGTGCAAAGTCACCAGCCTGGAGGAGGAGTGCAGACTGCTGAGGAAGCAAGCGACTACCATGCCCCAACGGGATGCAGAGGAGCGAAGCCACCCTGACGCTATGTCTGAACTGTGGGCTGAGAATCAGCGGCTGACGGCATCACTGCAGGAGCTGCAGGGCATGCTGCAGGTACCCCATGGGGAAGAATGGTTTGGGTTGACATGGGGCTTTGCATCCATCTGGTCCAAGCAGGGACACCCAGAGTGGGGTGCTCAGGGCCACATCCAGGTGGGTTTTGAAGGTGTCCAAGCTCCAGAGATGATTATGGCAGTTTTTCAAGCCTGCCCTTTGCTCATCTGCTGGGCTGGGCTAAGCTGGAGGTGCTGGCAATGTGGTGAAGGCATCTCCTCATCTCTTAGACTCCAGGCGAGGTCCCAGTGCCGGGCTCTGAGCAGATCTTGCTGGACATCCTGGAGCACGACTGGAAGGAAGCCCAAGATGACCGACAGGACCTCTGCCAGAAACTCAACTCCCTGCAGAGTGAGCTGCAGTGGGCTGAGGAGCTGAGGGATAAGGTAAAGCATCCATCACCACCACCCTTTTCCTGGCATGCAGCCACAGCAGTCGCTTCTGACTAAGTGGCTAATGTTCACTGCTCACTGTTGCCAGTACCTACAGGAGGTGGAAGACCTGCAGCTGAAATATCGAACGCTGCAAAAGGACTGCGATCTCTACAAGCACCGCATGAACACAGTACTGCTGCAGCTGGAGGAGATTGAGAAGGAGCGGGACCAGGTGAAGTGCTCTCTGCCTGCCAGCAGAATCAGGGCTTTTGGCTTTGCTCTGGGTACCTCTCCTTCCCCAGTGAGTCTTCTCTATCAGTGGGAAGTGGGTTTTGTAGTGTGGTCCTTCTCACCCCCAGCGTGGCTCCTTGTAGGCTATCCAGAGCCGAGATGGGGTGCAGCTGCAATACTCACAGAGCCTGATTGAAAAGGATCAGTACCGCAAACGTGTGCGGGCCCTGGAGGAGGAGAGGGACGAGCTCCTGAGCAAGCTGAGCCAGGTGGAAGGGCTAAACAGCACGCTGGAAGCACAGCTGCAGCGGTGCCGGGGGAACCGCAGCCTGGGCAAGGTGAGCAGGGCTGGAGAGAAGAGGGAGCTGAGGACAGGGTTAATCTCAGGGGGAATGCAAGAGAATGATGAGTCCCTTCTCTCTCAGATGTGCAGCTCTTCCTACTCCCTCTGCTCCAACCTCAGCAGCACATGGAGCCTTGTGGACAAGCCTTCTGACCTAACAAGTGGACTCACAGACCCGCTGGATGTTTCTGCCATCACCTTCCCGGGGGACTCCGCCATTCAGAGCATGGTAAGCACTGCACCATGAGGATCTGGCACTGATCAGTGGGGCAGTGGGGACACACTACGGGGCTTTGACTTGGTGGAAGGCTTGGTGTGGGGCAGGGAGCCACACTCAACTGGTGGGAGAGTGGTGCGAGTAAAACTCTTAGAATCATAGAAACATAGAACCATTAAGGCTGGAAAAGTCCACTGAGATTATTTAGTCCAACCATCAACCCATCAGCACCGTTTCCACTAACCATGCCCGTCAGTGCCACAACTGGCAACCTAGAAATCAACATCCCCATATAAGGTTGTTATTCTCCCCAGAAAGCTTTGTAATCACACCCTGGGGGGTGTACATTACAAAAAGATGGGGATACAGTGGCAGGTGTCTCCATTCCTGCTGTCTCCTTGGGAAAGCAAAAGGCCCCTGGGTGTTAGGGTAATTCTGAAGAGAGGTACCCCAGGAGCAACCTAGACCAAAGGAAGGAGAGGTGCTGGTGTAAGCAGGCCTCTCTCTCTTATTCTGCCCAAGGAGGGGACTCCTGACAGCGAGAAGGACATCAACCGCCTCTCTACCTTCCCCTTCCCTCCTTGCATTGGCTCCATCCTTCGGCGGCAGCGCGAAGATAGGTGCATGCCCTACAAAAGGTGACTACTGGAGTTGGGGTCTCATCCAGGGTTTGTGGGGGCTGGAATGTGCAGTTTTGCTATGGGGAACCTGGAGTGGGAGCTGAGGGTGAAAACTTCTGTGTCAGAATTGGTGGAAAGCTGTGGGGATGGAGTTGAGAATGGGATGCAAACAGGCTTTGAAATAGCTGCTACCTCTCATCTCACCATTGTGTTTCCTCTACAGCTTGTCCTGTGGCTCCTTTAGCAACATGGAAGATACAACAGGTACTAGGGTGGGAGCTTTCCCCAAAGAGTTTAGCAAGGGAGAAGTGGTGGGGTTAGGGATAGAACAGCATTCCAAGAGGTGATGTGCCCTCTCTCTTCCTTTTGCTCTCTTTCCTAGGCAGTGGTTTTGTTAGCATCCCACCTGGGGCCTTCTCCTCCTCTTCCAGCAGTACCTACACCAGAGTGAAGTCAGAGACCTGCTTGTCTATGCTTACCAGCCACCAAGAGATCTCCAGGAGGTACTTCCTCCAGAAGGAGGACCATGACCCGCTGCTTGGGGGAATGTATTCTGGTGCTGAGGAGTCATGCCTGGGAAGCTGTTTGTCCTGCAAGTCCTTCCCTGATAGCAAGGGAGAAGATAAACATATTGGGCTTAGTAGGGTAGAGAGGCATGTGGGGATTCACAAACTCTGTGCACCTGCCCTGGTGATGGACCATGAGCCATGGGAATCTAGTCTTTAGAAAGGGCAGCAAGCTTCAGTTGCTGGTGTTTCTCTTTGCCAGGTCACTGGTGGTGCAGCTCACGAGCATGGGTCACCCCAGCAGCCTGTCGCCCCATGAGAAGAGGCTGGGAGCAGACATCTCCATCCTTGGAGGGAACAAGACGGGGATTTATGTCCAGTGGGTCAAGCCAGGCTCAGAAGTTGAGAGCACAGGACTCAGGGAAGGGTGCCGGCTCATTGAGGTGGGTCTGGGAATGGGATCATGCTGGAGATGTGCACTGGACCTGGAATGCATGAGCATGGAGTGAGGCCCAGTGTGAACTGGCTTCTGGTTTGCTTGAAGCCCTCCTCTATCTCTCTTGTTTTCCAGTTCTGCTCTTTGCCTACAGCTTTATGCAGCTTGAACAGGCATAGAGTCCTCTGCACTCAAACCTGCCAGTGTATGTGATGATGCTCAGTCTTGCTGAAATGCTTCCTTCAGGTGTGAAAGGGGAAATCAAAAAAGGAGCCACATGGATTAAGGCAGCGATATGACTGTCTCCCTGGAGCTTCCTGTCCTTGTAGTATTGCAGAGCAGTTTGCGTTCTGCATATGCCTCTTGCAAAACAATCAATTCTGGAGAGACATCTCGCAGGCTTTCATGACCCTCTCAGAGAATAACTGCTGTGAAGAGAGCTCCTGGAAGGAGGGAAGGGCATTTGTTTTGGCAAGAATGACACCACTTTAAATACAGCCACAGTGCTTGAATTGATATCCCACCTGTAGCTGAAAATAACCCAGCTTCCCCGCCTCTGCTCCCACACGTGTTTGTGCACATGTGTTTGCTTTCATATCAGCCCAGCATTCAAACTGGGGGGTGGCTGACAGCAGCAGTTTCAGAGGCAGAGGAGAGAATCAGAGGCTGATGAGGATGCTTGTCCTCAGGCAGAGCTTGCCCTGGGCCTGTACCATCTCTTGGTTAAACCTGATGGGTGAGGAGCAGAGGGGAGCCTGCACTTCCAGATCTAATAGCATCCATTCTGTGCTAGCTGAGGGTCCCATCACTGAAGGAAGAAGTGCTTTCCCTGGAGAACTGTACACGTGAGGTTGCTTACCTGAGCCTGCTGCATTGGGATGACCCCTCCAGCCTTGTCTTCCAGCTAGACCTGCAAGGTAAGGCCCTGGCAGCTGGATTTCCTTCCAGCCTGAGCTCTTTGCTTCCCTTTGCAAGCTTTTCACCCAGCCCTGGAGGTAAGTCTCAGCTATTCTCTGTCTTCTTCTCTTTGGTCCTACGCTACCAGGTGTGATACTGGGCCTGGCCATAGCTCTGCTTATTCTCCTATCTGGTGTCACATGTCCTCCGTTACATAATGGAGGTACAGACCTTCTGTCTGTTTTTCTCTGCATCCCCCTCCGAACCGTAACATCAGAGATGTGCTGGAAGCTTGGCTATCTTGTCGGTTATGGTTGTCTACTGTGTCCCCACCTGTAGTGACCTACATCCCTTACTCCAGGGTACCAGCCTCTGCAGGAAGCCCTGGAAGAAGGGAAGAAGTTTTCTGGAGACTCCTTCTACATCCGTACCAACCTGTCCCTCCTGGAGCCATCAGACCCTTATGCACTATGTGTCAAATGTCGGGAGATCCTCCACGTCACAGACACCATGTACAAGGGGCGGCTGGAGTGGTACTGTTCCCGTGTTGATCCCTTGACCATGCGGGACTTGGACAAGGGGACGGTGCCCAACTACAGCAGGTAACAGAGGAAGGAGGAAAGCAGGGATGTACATGGTGTGCTTGCTCCGTTTCTTTGTGGAGAGCGTTTCTGAGGAGTTCAGAAGTGTGTGGGTTTGCCTTTTCATTGTGTGGGATTTCTAAGCCTTAAACCTTGTGCTGGGGACCAGTGCTGTAATTTTTGGGTGCCCTTGACAGACAGGGAGGTTGAGTGAGGATGTTGATATACCTGTGGGGTTTGGGAAGGAGCATCACAGCCAACTGTGGTCCCTGAGGTCTCTAGAATCGCTTGAGTTAACACCGTTGTCTTTTCAGGGCGCACCAGCTTTTGAAGATCCAGGAGAAGGTCCATATACCTGGGCAGCAGAAGGGCCACAGAAGTAACGTAAGCCAGAGAAGCCAGCAAGGAAAGTTTTTGTAACACACTTTCGTAATGGTCAATGCTCTCAACCTTGTTGCACTCCCTTCCTCCTCAGCTAAAGAAACGGGCCTTGGACCAACTGCGCTTGGTGAAATCCAAACAGCAGAAGAACTCAGAACAGCCCTGTCAGCAGCTGTGGCTGGACCCCTGCTCAGGTGAGCTGTTAGCTGTGTTGTCTAATTGTCTCTGGGGATCCAGCCATCCCCCGTGAGAGGACATCAGCAAATGGGATGCTTTAGTCTCCCTGGCCAGGGCCCTTCTAATGAGATTTTGAGAAGGCAATTCATATTTAAAAACTCCTGCTCTTAGGCTTTCTGGGGCTTTCCAACATTTCTGTAATTCCTGGGATCTTCTAAGGTTTTAAGGAGAGAGAAGAGGTCACTATGGTCATAAGGTCGCTACTGGTGTCCAGCTCCAGTGAAGCCCAGGGAATGGAAAGGGGGTTGTAAAAGCCAAGGCAGTGATGTAACCAGGGAAGGGTCTCTGCTTGAGATGCCTGGTAGGTGTCTCCATGAGTAATGATAGAGGCTGGTGCAGGAAGAACTGAATGTTCTGTGGGATGGTGGCAGACTGCTCTCTCAAATTCTCACCTTTGTCTCTCTCTTTTTTCTTCCTGTCTTTCAGACCCCGACAGGAGACTGAAGCCTTACAGCCTGGTGCACCCTGTGGTGGTCAAGACACCCCGTCCCGTGGTGCTGTCACCCAGCTGCATCGCATCACGGCTCATCAGGAACCTGCTGGACTTGCCCACCTCTCGCCTGAACTTCCATGTGTGCCCAGCAGGTAGGCAGTTAAGAGTGGCAGACACATATGAAGTTGCTTTAGGAGCCCATGGCTAAGTGACATACAGTGTGCAAGTTGCCTGCTTTCTAAGTAAAAGGGGCTGTTTTCACTTTGTTGCCTCCTGTCACTTCCTAGCCATGAGGTAGGAAGAAAACATGCTGCTCAAGGAGGTAATTTCTGTGGAGGCCTTGGAAACTCCAGTTCAAGGAACAAGTCCTGAAGTAAGAGATGTGTACACATGGGATTCTTGGAGAGGACACAAGGTGCATCTTCAGTAGTTAATTGTGGGGGTATTTCAGCCTTCCCAGATGATAACCATTGAGCCAATTTTTGGGCCAATGCTAGGCATTCCCTCCTGTTCTTAATCGGATCCTATCCCTTTGGCCTTCAGGGAGGCTAGTCCTCCATTCTGGTCTTCTGAGACATGGGGATCCTCTTGTTTCCTTGAGTGGGTGATGGTAGCACTGCCTTGCTGCTCTGGTGGCTCTTCCAAGGGCTAAAGCCCTTGCCTGAGATGGGATGTGTAGGTTGACTTCACTCCTGCCTTTCCTCCTTGGGAATGACATTATCCTTCTTTCCACCAGTGACCTGAGACTGTCACACCACTGTAGGAGCTGTAGGAAAAAAGCTTTTCTCCCATACAATGTTTTCACACAGGACAAATTCTACTTCCTGCCTCCTTCATCCTCCTTTTCCCATCTCTCTCCTTTCCCATGTTTAGAGTTCATGCTTTGCCAGCTGCTGGACTGAAAAATGAACTGGCATACTTTTAGGGGGTGGTGAAAAAGCTATTCTGCTGAAAAAGGATGGCTCTGCAAAAATGTGGTGGCTGGGCTTCTTAGCTGAGTGACTTGACCATATATCCTGTCCTACTGAGCCCTCTGCAGGGTCCCCCTAACATTGCACTGGAACGTGCTTCAAAGCCATTTACTGCAGCTGGAGTGCCTGCTTCGGCCATACTAAGATTCAGAGCTTCCTACTACCGTTTGTGGTCTCTGTGTGAGTTGCCTCGTCTTCTGCTGGAATTGCTGGGGGCACGTGGTGTGCACTGATCATGCCAGACTTCACTGTCCCACCAACTCTACTCCCACTTCTCTGTCTCAGCATCATCTTTCTGCTGCTCTGCTGCATGGCATGGTCTGAGGTGCCATCTTTCCACCTCTGAGCAGAGAGAGGTGGTTTGAGTTGACACCAACAGGAGGTTCAGCTTGCTCCCCATCTTCCTCCCAATCTCCTGTGCCAAAATGTGTGCTCTCCCTGCTTCCCCAGTCATCTGTGAGCTCATGCAGCTCACCAGCCTTGCAGATATATTACCTGGCAAAATAAAATAATTCATTTTCTGCTATATTTCATCAAGGAGGGGCTGGAGCAGTGTGGAAGGGGGGTCAGATATGAGAGACAGCTTTGGATGCTGCTGTACCACAACACAAGAGCTGCTCTTGCCCTGCAAGGTCTTCAGCTGTGATATCTTGCTTGTTCTGTAAGCAGAAAGCAGCAGGAAATCCATGCCAACGTGTAATGCTGTGTAATTAGACTAGCTCGCCAGAATCCGTAAACACTGAACTCAGTGAGCATCAGCACCATAGCAAGCATGCAGAATCTGAGGTAGAATGTACAAGAGGGAGATGAGGATGTTGCCTCCCTCTTCATCTCTCCTTTCTCTCTTCCCTTGCAGAGAAGCTGACAGAAGGGAACCCCAGTGCTGCCCATGTGCAGGAGCCCCCTGTGTCTAGAAATGCCCCCCAGGAGCGAAGGGAGAGCAGTCAAGTCTGCATGATCCAGGAAGCAATGGAGAAGGTGCTGAGTGGTTTGGGAAGAGAAGGCTGGGATGGGGTACCATGTTCAGGTGGGAAGAAAGGGTGGGACAAGGGAAGGCAATTGTCTATTTTAGAGCTGTGTGATTTGGAGGGTCGAGGTGCTGTGGGTCTGGGAATTGGTGACTGTGGTCTTTTCCCTGAGTCTCTTTCAAGCCCTGGTGAGAGAAATGGGAACTGGGAACTGGTAGGGGAGAGAGTGGGAAGTGCCATACGCAGAAGCAACCTCTCTGCTTTCATGTTCCTCGTTTTAAAGAAAGTAGCAAGAGCTCTGTTAAGGGAAAATGGAGAAATGTGGGGCTGTTGGTGACAATTATAAGAAAAGGGATGAGAAGATGGGCTGAGGCTGAGTGATACATCTGGTGGGCTCTTGGGCTGGGCTGGCTGTGATGGAGTGGGTGACCCTGCTCTGTAATTCTCTCCTTCCATCTTGGCCTTGTCTGTAAATCCCACATTTAATGGAATTACTATTGGAAAAGCAATGATATTTCACAGTATGGGGTTTGATTTAATGCATCTGTCAGGGGCTGGAGCTATTTCTTCTCCACTTAAATCAGTAAATCTATTCAATTTCCTTCCAGAATAAACACTGCCTGCTGGAGCTGGGAGTTCAGAGTGTGAGGGATCTAATTAAACGTGAGATATACCCCATTGTTATCCATGTTGAGGTCACTGAGAAGAACATCAGGGGGCTCAGGTAAGATAAGACCATGTGGATGGATGGAGGGCATCGCAAGCGGGCGAAGAATCACAGAATCATAGCATTGTTTGAGTTGGAAGTTGTTCCCTTAAAAGTCTCGTAGTCCAACTCCCCTGCAATGAACACGACACCCACAGCTCGATCAGGGTGTTCAGAGCCCCTCCAGCCTGACCTTGGATGTCTTCAGGAATGGGGCATCCACACCACTGGGCAACCTGTTCCAGTTCTTCACTGTTCTTATCATAAAAACTGTTTCCTTATGTGCAATCTGAACGTCCCTTCTTTTAGTTTGAAACCATTTCTGCTTGTCCTATCACAACATACCTCGCTAAAGAATCTGTCCAGTTCTTTCTTATAGCCCCTCTGTTCAGAAGGTTCAGAGAGGGTTGGCAGCAATAGAGGCATGTATATTTCTTGGTTTTGGTTGTTGTGGGGGGAAAAGAAGGGCAAAAAAGCATGTTGTGTGCACATGAGAAGGTTCTTGTTTGGGGCAACGTTGGTGTTTTCCAACTCCATCTGTCTATGTGAAGGTGATGTTTGTTTCTGTGTTCCCCAGGCGCTTGCTGGGGCAGCCAGGCCAACGAGACGCGGAGGTGCTGAAGGCATGCCGTGGTGCTGAGCGGGCTCTCCATGCCCTGCCCTGCTCCTGGGCCCGTGTGGAACCCCATGCCTGGAGCCACGCAGAAGAACTGCCCAAGGTGGTACGGGGCTGCATCTTCCAGGAGCAAAACCGCCCGCTGTGGGTTGAGGATGGTGATGACTGAATCAGGAGGTACAGAGCCTTCCCCAGGAGTTGTCCTTTACGTAGCATGTCCTCTCTCTCCAAGGGGAAGCCAGCAGTAATGGGACCAATTAGCATTTAAGGTCCACTTGAAGCTATGAAGAGTTGGGGACGTAACGAATGCTGACCCACCCGCCTGAGCTTTCCATATTTGATTGGAAAGAAGTCTTCCACCTTCTTGCTGGACATCTCATGGACTGTTCCCCATCACCTTGAGCCTTTGGCTCTGGTACATGGTGAGACCGGGAACATGAGGAAAACATGTGAGATGAGGTTGATGAGGAGCATATCTCATGCGTGCACAGTTTAGTGCACTAAAATCCTTCTCTCATCACCTCTATTTTCCCTTCTCTACCTCATCTCCTGCCCCACGGAGCAGGAAACACAGTTTGTCTGCAGAAACCCTGCTGCAGCCATGACTGACACTAAGTTTGCAACCAACCCTCGTTTTATGGGAGCTGTACTCTTTATTGCTTGTAAATTATTAATGGGCCCTTTTATCGGCAACCCGTGTGCAAAGGAGAATTAAATACCATTCATAATGGGAATGGGAGGCTGGCTGCAGACTTGTGTGTTAATGGGAAGGCTTGGATGATATGTGGGCATGTTTTTCTCCTGAGACTACCCCTGTAGGGGTAGAAGACAGCATTGCTGTTGTAGGGAAGCAAGAGGGACAGGGAGATGATAGGTTGAGCGTGCCACAGGCTGGGCTTCCTCACGTTTCTTCTAATCCCCCATTTTTCAGCTGCTTCCCTCTCCCCAGTGCTGAAGGTGCTCTAGTTCAGCCAAGGAGAAGCATAGAGGACTTTTCCAACCTTGGTGATTCTAAGATAATGTAGTCCAGCTGTCCACCTACCACCAATACTGCCCGCTAAACCATGTCCCAAAGTACCACATCTACATGTTTCTTGAACACCTCCAGAGATAGTGTTTACACCATTTCCCTGTGCACACTGTTCCAGTGTCCATCCATGCCTATGGAGAAGAAATTTTTCCCAATATCCAAATTACATGTTGAGAAGGTTACTTGGTGTCTGGCCGAGGTTCCTAGAGCTTCAAATCCCTGGTTATCCCTATATCCTGGTTATCACAAAGGGAAAAGCCAACCATCTTGTCCTTCTCATGGACAAGGTTAAGTATTTGAAGGATAGATGGTTTCCTGAGCCACACAAAAGGAAAATGGGGGCTGTGGGAATCTCTATGGTGCAGGAGACCGGGCAGTGGGCTGGGGTCAACGGGAAAACCAATGAGCCACCAGCACATACAGACTCTAGATCTCCATATCCTCCTCGCCCCTATGATTAGGGAACTGATACTGCTATGCACTTCTGAAGCTCCAAGTAAAGATTAACTTGCTGATCTTCATGGGTCCCTTGTGAGGTGTTATTTCAGGCTCTAAAACAGTTGTCTCTGTCTTTTATGAGGACAAGAGTGAAAGGGGGGAGGAAAGAAAAAGAATACTTTAACCTGCAGTCACTTAAATGTAGAGCAAAGTCCCAGATCTGCCCTGGAGCCATGCAGCTATGGAGGGGATTGGTGTAAAGGGGCTCCAGCCAGGAGGTCCCCAGTGCTGTCCCCTCCAGGGGACCAGCCCAAGCATCCCAGCACTGTCAGCCCTGGGAGGGCAGATGCCCTGCAGGTGAACAAAGCGGGGCTCTTGTTGAGCAGATGAGAAGACAGTCCCAAAGCACGCTGGGTTTGCAAGGGAAGGAGGTTGGAGCCTGCAGCTTTTCAGGGGAAAAAATGAAGTTTGAGTACCGAGGGAAAATACTGCTTGTGAGGCACTGATTCAAAGCCTGACAACTCCTCCTGCCCTCTGGCATTGGAGCTGTCACCAGCCTCATGGCTGGGTTGATTACAGAGCAATACCCCCAGCTTTGAGGAGCTACTACTCCCCAGCAAAACAGATTTCTCCACACATCTCCCTGAGTCGTCTGTGTTTCACTGGGAGGGAAACTGAGGCAAAGCAAAGTTGCATTGAGAGGCAGGTTGCTTCTCTAAACCCTCCTTTTGTCCATCTTGTCTCCCTGGAGGCTTTCAGAATCCAGCTACAACTAGTCCTGAACATGGTTGAGAAAAGGGGCAGAGGGCTCTGAGACAAACATAATGCTCCCCTGCCCTGCGCACCCCTGCCCACCTCAGTTGTGTCCCCAGGGGTGCAGCTGTGTGCTCAGAGGAATGAGTCACGGGTTAGGTAATGGGCAGAATGCAATTAGCAGCCCTGGGCATCAATTACCAGCTGTGCCAGCCTTGCATAAAACCCTTGTAAAGTCAACGAGAGCAAATTTTCTCCCTCCAGGGAGGGCAGGGGCCAAGTGGTGTGTGTGTCACGGCAGGAGGCCACCAGCCCTTCCCCATGCTGTCCCAAGCAGAGCTGAAGCAGCTTTAGGTCACTTCTAGCTTAGGGCATGTTTGGGTTTGCACTTGGTTGGGTAGAACCTGCTCTACTGCTCAACAACATCCTTTGCACAAGGTGGTTTGGCTCACCCTGGCAGCCCCCAGTGGGCTTTTGTGGGGACCCTCCACCTGTGTCCCCCTTTCTTTCCAGAAGATCTCCTGAGCCAGGAATGGCAAGTACTGCAGGATGCTTGGGAGCCACAGAATCATAGAATGGCTTGAGTTGGAAGGGACGTTAAATCCCACCCAGCCCCAAGCAGCGCTGCCACCCAGCAGGTTAGGCTGCCCATTCAACCATCCAACCTGGCCTTGAGCACCTCCAGGGATGGGACACCCACAGCTTCTCTGAGTAACCTGTGACAGATGCCCCTGTACATCTGCCTGGGCCTACAGATGTAGCCAAAGTACTTAGAGAGGGTCATTTCTGGTTCAGGAGCAGGGATGAGCCATGGGGGCAATCCCACTAGTCTGGTGGCCGTGGATTGGTTATGCCAACTCACATTCCTGCAGTAAAGGCCTGAAAGGAATTGCCCGCCCCCCCCCCCCCCACCTCAAAACAATGTAAAAGAATAGGGATTTAGTCCTGCAGGGAAATCTTCCCTATGTCCCGGCCACACAGTGGGAGTGTGCAACAGAGAGAGCATGATCCTGCCCTAACCTCCTTTTATAACTACCCAGAATCAGACGTGCACGGGAGAAGATCTTAGTCACACAGCACACCCAGGGAACCATGCCGCTCTCACCCTGCTCCCCCCTTTTTCTCCCTTTCGTTATTATTTTTTGCTCAGACTCGATGCCCACAGCTTGCAGCTCCCTAAGGACGTGCTCTGATTTTTATGTGGAGCGCTGTCATCCTGCTGTCCCCATGCTTGCTTCTCCACCGAGTCTGGGGTGGGGGTGGACTCCAGCTCCAACCTGGGCTGGTTACCTCTCCGTACCCCTCAAGTTCTTGCTGGAGTGGCCTAAAGGTGGCTGACCCAGAAACCCTATGGGGCAGTCCATGGTGCTGACCCCAAACGCAGTGGTCCTTGCACTGAGGGGGCAGGGGGCAGTGGGAAAGGGGTTTTCAAGAGCGAGTGTGCTGGCGCTGTGGTTTGGGGAGATGAGTTTCAGACACTAGTGAGCCAGGCACTAGTGAGATCCTGTTGACCTGAACCTGAATCCATTCCCTATGCTCTTGTAGCAGCGAAAGGCTGCACAGGGCTTGTGCCCTCCCATACAGCGGGGGCTGGGCTTTCACGGGGGAAGGGGACAACCACTCAAACAACAGGTTTGCCCTTCCCCATCAGCTGTTTGTCACCTAGGAGTGCTCCCAGCCAGGGGATCTCGAGCAGCAGATGAAGCCAATCCGCTTTCAGCCTGGGGGCTGCCCCCTTTCACCCTCCCCCCTCCATCCTCTTCCTCCCCGGGGGGCTGGCGCTCCGCCCCATACCCGGAGGCGGGACCGGGGGCTGGCAGGGACCCAGCCGCGGAGAGGGAGCAGGTGGACGGCCAGGCAGCCCCTTCCCACAGCCCTGCTCCAGCCCCATAAGCACATGGCTTGGATACACTGGCTGCTGTCTTCTGAGGAGCTGATGTCTTTGTCCGGACACCCCCCTGATGGCTCTGATCTCCTCTCCTGACCCTTCCACATCCATTCCAGGACTCTCATCTTCACAACCAGGAGCAATAATGCTTGCTGTCCCCTTGACAGCCTGTGCCAGCCACCCACCAGTCACTTTGGAGTATTTTCCCATCACGTGTCCGCATCTTGCTGGATGATCGGCGCCCTGGTCTATGGAAATTCCCCTTATTTCATCTGTTGCTTTATCTTGCTGGTCTTCATCTTGGATAAAGTCCTTGGCCACATCCTACTCATACCTTACTCTCAGTTCGTCTCACCCTTCTAAAGGTTTAAAGAAGAGCAGAGAGATTCACATGGAGGTACAGGCTGGCTGAAGCTGTCCTTGCTTGAGCTATCCAGAAGCCATGGGCCGTCGGCTCATACGGGGTCTCTCCGGAGCTGCAGTCTTTCTGGTCAGTGTGGCTCTCCTTTCTGTACGGCACCGTGGAGCTCAGGAAACCTTGGGATACCCAGGGCTCAGGGAGCAGATACTGGAGAATCCAGAGCAACGAACACATGAGAGCCCAGAGGATGCCAAGGGAGGTGGTGGCACTGGGCAGAAGAACCTGCAGGTCCGTTCTCTGGACAAATATAAGACTGAAGGGAACCTGACCCTTGGGGATGTTTTCATAGCTGTGAAGACCACCAGGAGATTTCACCAGAGCAGGATGGAGCTGCTTCTGGACACGTGGATATCCCGGGCAAGAGAGCAGGTGAGCATGTGGTTATGTGGATTTGGGCTACAGAGAGTGTACATGGCAAGGGGAGTCTATGGGGAGGCACAAAGCCAACAAAAGCAGAGATTGGGCACTGTGTTGCTTCCCTTTGCCTCATTTTCCCTAATGCTCATTGCTGTTCACACTGAAAGGTAGATGGTATCATGTGAAATGTTGCATTGATAGCTGGTTCATGGGGAGGGTGGTCAGAGAGGGTCAAGAGCTTCCACTGGTGCTTAGTTATGGTGGTCAGAGGGGCTGAAGTGGGCACTTCCCATGAAGACTGGGACATGAGGTCTGATTTTTGTGTGGTACTGTGCGAATTGAGGAGTTGGACTCGATCCTGAAGGGACCGTTTAAACTCGAGATACTCTATGATTTTATGAGTGCTCTTAGCAAGCATCACCATTGCCTAACCTAACCCCAACTCCTTTGGCTTGAGATGGAAGGGATTTTCTTTCATTATGTCTAACGACTAACGGCACAGACTGCCCGGGACACCCCAGATGAACAGAACAGACCTTCCACAGCCTATCTGAAATAGTGGCTTCCCATCTCCTCACAAGTTTGCAGGGTATGGAACTGTGCTGCTCTGCAGGTTGGCTTTGTGGTGGGCAGAAGTTCTCTTCCTTGCTTCTCCCCCCTCACAAAGCTGCTCCTCAAGAACAAAAAAACCCTGCGGCTGTCCCCAAAGGGTATTTTTTTTCCTCCTTTTGCCTCTGCCTGCATGCAACAAGATGACTTCAGGCCTATGTGCGGAAGGGAGGCGGGGGTGGAGGTTCTGGGTAGGAGAGTGCTTGAAGCAGTGCAGGGTTTTCTGGGTAAGGGTGGTTTTCCACTTTCGGGTGCTGCTGTGGTAGTCGCAGGAAATCATGTCCTATTTCAGACACACTTCCTCTCCTGTCTGTGTGACTGTCCTAAGCATTTGAGAGACCCTGCTTCCTCCTCCACACGCACTTCTCCTCTAAGCCCAACAGTTCTTTGGAGAAACCAAACTGTTCCCTGGGCACACGCTTTCAACAGTTCCAACTGAGCTGTTGGAGTGGACTTGCACACAGCAGCTCAACTTCCCCTTCTTGTTCAATTGACAGACAGACATCTTACTGTCCTGCAGATGATAGGCTGAGAGGTGATATGTTGCACTAGGGGAGGTTCAGGTTGGATTTCAGGAAAAAATTTAATCTCAGAAGGAGTGGTGCTGCAGTGGCAGAGGCTGCCCAGGGAGGTGGTGGGGTCACCGTCCCTGGAGGTGTTCCAGAACTGTGTGGATGTGGCACTGAGGGATGTGGTCGGTGGGCATGGTGGGGATGGGCTGGATGTTGGACTGGGTGATCTTAGAGATCTTTTCCAACCTTCATGATTCTGTGATTCTATGGTTCTGTGGCAGGATTTAGATAGCATCTCCCCACGTTCACCAGACCATCTCTTTTTGGCAGACAAGTGATGTTCCAACGTGGGAAGAGGCAGTGAATTTTCTGTGCTGCTGCCCACCCATAGGAAAACTTCATTTGTAGGAGGATATGAAGGAAGGGGTCAAATGGGAGGGTCAGGCATTTTTTAAACAGTGTTTTTTCATTGTTATCAAATTTTGTTACAAGCTCAGCACTATCCTTCCCCTAGCCCCTCTCAATTTTCCATGTTTTTCTTCTGCTTTTTGTACTAAATGCCCTTGAGGGCAGGGGAGGGATGGGGAGGCAAAGAGAAATACATGAATGTCAATAAATAAATATATATAGCCAGTGTGGAAATTTTGTCAGCTGGCCATGCTTCTGATGCCAAGCCTGGCTTAAGAGCTGGTTCCTGCACAGTGCCCTCCCAGAGGAAGTAACCTGGACCTCAAAGGCCGGGCTTAGGTGACTGCAGCAGGAGGCAGGGCCAGCTGTGATCTTTTATGGTTAGGAGAGATTGTGTGGGAGCCAAATTACCTAGGAAAAGTCTTTTAGTTAGAAAAAGCTTCATCTAAGCACAATTGTTTTGATGACTGTCTAGGCTGAACAGCATCCCAAAGTTGCTGGTACTGTTGGCCTCTTCACATTCTGATGGAGATAGGTCTAGTTTTTCTGGTCTATTTTATTCGGTAATATAAACACATTCCAGCACCCTTCCTTTCAGCAACCCAAACATGCAACTGATGGAAATGAAAACTCGGAGTGACCCACCCTGAAGTGTTTTTTCATGCTTTCAGTGTTGTGAACACACTGTAGACTTTGAATCTCTTCTCTGGGCAGGGGAACAGTTTCCTGCCCAGCTGTACCATTACACGTGTTGATGTGTTTGCATTTTGGAGGCTGTTTTTTCCTGGGGAAGAAATACTCTGGGAGCTTGGTAGATTAATATCCTGGACTGTCAGGTTCCACATATTTATTCCCTTTTTCTCATTTTTCTTGCTTGGGTCACTTTCCAGTTTGGTCTGAGGAAGCCTCAAAATATTGTGTTAATCCATCACGTGTGTACTTAAGTTCATAAAGAGCTGCCTGGTCAACCTATTGGACAGCAGTGGCTCCATATCACTGCTAGCGCCCAGCAAACATCTTTTCCCACTTCTCTGGTCCAGAACTGAAGGATGTCTTCCAGCCTGATCCTGGTGTGATTTCCCTCCATCACTGACAGGAGAAATGGTCTTAGAGAAGGTGAGGTGCAGAAGGCGAGTGGGAAGCTGTGGTAGAATGACAGCTCTGTGGGCCCATTGGTCCACCTGTCAGAGAAGGTGTCCATGGGCCTTGGGTTCCTAAAGGAGTACGCCAGGTGTCTGCAAGTAAGCATTCCCCTTTGCATCTAGGGGAATGTGAGTGGTTCAGAGTATTGCCATTAATAGAAAGGTAGATAGGCAATGAGATATTAAGTTTATTAGACACATGATTTCTGATTGGTTTTGCAACTGTAAGCAAGTCATTTCTAGAAACATTTCTGTTTTTTGAATGCCAGGAGATTTCAGTGGTTTCAGAATTGTTCTCTTAAGATGAAACATTTGTCATAGTGGAAATTTCTGCCTTTGGATGTGCTGGCACGGCGAGTCCCATACTGCTGGGAATTCCTGCTATGTTTGAACATTAAGATACGGTCACCTGACTCAGGACTCCTTCACCTGTGACTTTGCTAATTGCTTCCAGTCCCATGACCGCCTTGAAAGTGGTTTAAACTAAGAGGGCTTATCTTGCTGAGGCACGGTAGGACTGTATGCAGAGTCAGTTTTTGCAATCAGCTGTGAGACAGGAGAGGAATTTGCCGACTCACAGCTTGCATGTTTGAGATTGTCCACCCTGCCATCTCTGCTTGACTGGGTGCTCTCTGAGAGCCCTTCATCGCCTCCCTTGTGTGTTCAGATCATTTCTCTTCCCACACATTGCTGATGCAGGGCACATCGCCCAACCCAAGCACTCGATGATATGGGGCGGTGTCGAAACAAGGACATCTCATCAGAGCAGTGACAGCTCCTAGGAGCTGCTGTCCATCTGCCTCGTCCCTTTTGTCCCTGCCCAGGTGCAGTGTTTAACCAGCCTGTAGGCAGCTGGTAGAGAGACTGTTTAAGGCTTGCACCTCCTTTTTGATTTCATGAAAGCTCATTTTCTGCTTGAGGAAAGCTTTTCTTCCTGAGCTGTGATCCCTGCCCAGACCCAAAGAGGGGGAGATGTGCCACATAATGGCATTAGAGAGCCTGGGGGTGGAGGAAGAGAAGGAGGAGGCAGGGAAGTGGCAGGGGGCTGAGCACACTTAACACACAAACAGATGTTCTCCTTTCAGCCTGAGCGTTCCTTGGCCACAGTGCTTTTCATTTTTCTTCAATGAACACCTAGACCAGGCCTCCTCCACCCTCTCTCTCAGTTTTGCAGGCCCTCTTGTTCCTCTTTCTGAAACTTTAGGAGAAAATAAAGCAGTGCAAACAGGGATGGTGCTGGCTGGGTGTAATGGATGACAAAGGAACGCTGATTCTGCTCGGGGCAGGGATCAACCCCTGTGATTTGCCCCGCAACTGTGCAAGGGCAAAGCAAGCTTCCCAGGCCCTTCCAGGCCAGTGGAAGGAAGCAGCATGAAGCAATGGGAGGGCATGGGGATAACGGTTGTGGTGGGGTCTGCATGCACAGCCTGTGAGGGTTTGGAGAGGCTTTAGTGGGAAAGAAGAGGACTGGGGCAGCCACTGTCCCTCCTCTCTGTTGCCTACTGCCTGGAATGCAGTAGAAGCACCAGCTCCACGCCTGATGGTAACATCCTTTTCTCATCTCCACAGACGTATGTCTTCACAGATGAAGAAGATGATGCCTTGAAGAGAAGAATGGGTAAACACCTTTCCTATATTACCATCTCTGCCTTCACTCTGAGCTAACATGGCCTTTGGAGGGGGCCAGGCAGGATGGCTAGCTCCAGGCTGTAGCCACACAGTGCAAGCAGCATGGGAGAAAACCCTTCCTTGATTCCTGTACCCTTTCTGGCCATGGGCCAGAGTTGTAGTTGCATCTCTTCACTTTTACTGTGAAAAATTTCTTATGTACAATTTAGTTTTCACTCTTTGAGTTTGAAACCCTTGTTTGTTGTCTTACTGTTTGGAGACCAAATGTCTTTCCACTTGGGTACCTGAAAGCAGCCTTTCAATGTCTGAAGGGAGGCTGTAAGAAAGAATGGGACACAGTCTTTGGCAGGGTCTGTTAGGATAGTTTCCTATCCTACAAGCCTTTTGAGAAGGCTTGTAGGAAGGGAATGTCTTGAGGTTGATGAGGGGAAGTGTTGAGCAGGTGGGAGATGAAGCCTACATCACAGCAGGCTTGGACTGAGAGACCGTGGTGAATCTGGCTGTGAGCAAACCTCTTTCATCCTACTCAGAAGTCCTCTCCATGTCTGTATGGGCCAGCAGCAAGCAACAGCCTTCTCCCTGTCCACAGGTGACCGTGTGGTGTTCACCAGCTGCTCTACTGAGCACAGTCACTCAGCCCTCTCCTGCAAGATGGCTGCAGAGTTTGATGCATTCCTGTCCAGTGACAAGAGGTGAGTTGGGGCTGCTGTGAAAGTGAACTTTGTCTTGAGGATGCTGGCACCTCCTTACTGCAAATCTCTTGTATACTCCCTCCTATCTCTCTCCAGCTGGTTCTGCCATTTGGATGATGACAACTATCTGAACCCTGAGGCCCTCCTGAAGCTCCTGTCCTCATACTCTCCAATGAAGGATGTCTACCTAGGGAAACCCAGCTTGAACCGACCCATTCGAGCCTCTGAAACACTGTCTAACAACCAGACGGTACAGCCTATGGCAGGGTGGAGCAGCTGGGGTTTGGTTTTAATGCTCTGACTCATTGGCCATAGCTCTACTCTGGTTGAGAGAAAAGTCGCAAGAGCAAGAGACATCAACTGAAAACTGTGTGGTCTTGTCTGAATGTAGCAGCATGTGTTGACTCATTCCAATCTCACCTGAGGAAGAAAGGTGATGTTCAACAGTTCTGCTGTGCCTTTGGGTACCCATCTGCAGGGAGATCAGCCTGCCTTGGGCAGCCTACTTTCCACTGCAGGAGCTTGGCTGCTCCAAATGGGCCAGCTGGCACTGTTTAGCCTTGGTTTCCAGTTAGCCTTTCTTAGCATGTGTGCTGTAATTTGGCCAGTGGTCTCTTCACCCCTGCTGGCTCTTTTTCCCTTTGGTTGAGAGTGCCATGTTTTCAGTCTTTGCTCATCCTGACTTCCCAGCCATATGAGGAGATCAAAATTGGGACTGTGTTACCAACAGGTGCTTGTACTGGGCAGCAACTGGGGAGTGACAATAGGGCTCTTTATCTCTCTGTCAAAGCTGCGTTTGTAGCATTCCCAGCTCAGGGAGCATGGTGTCATCTGAGCCTCTGCCATTGATTTGCTCTGCTGTTTCTCTCCAGAAATCTGTGCGCTTCTGGTTTGCCACAGGAGGAGCTGGATTTTGCATCAGTCTCAGGCTGGCAAGGAAGATGATGCCTTGGGCCAGGTAAGCTGTACAGTCACAGGGTATGTGAGTCTTTGGGATTAGGAACACAGACACACAATAACTTCTGCCAATGTCAAATCTGGATTTGTGTATGTGATGTTTGCAGGGATGTTTGAAAGGGTGCAGAGAGCCACACGCTTCAATTCTGCAAGCATGTGGGACTGAAGGAAGGATGTAGTGGGTGGATCTCCCACCTGATTAAAGAAAGGCAGGAGAAAGCACATCAGCAAACATTATCACACGATGACACACTCCTCCTCCAACTCCTTCCATCTTTTGGTTATTCCTCAACCTTCCTTCCTTTTTCTTTCAGCTTTTTCTGGCTCTTTTTGTAAATGCCCAGATTGAGCTCTGTCTCCTTCCAACCTCCTCTGCCTCCTTCCTGATCTAATTTCCAAGTCCTTCACCTTAAACTCTATTCAGCTGCTTACAGTGTCCATGGTTATCTCCTAAGCTTGATGCATAGGGAATGGCAGTAGGTCCCGGGGACATGTGTTAGTCCAACCTACATGATGATGTTTTCCAGCATGCCCTAGGTTATCTTACAGACTGTATGTGTAAACGTCAACAGGAATGATCTGTGCCAGCCTTAACCAAGTGTTTGCGTACCCAGAAAGACAGACCTGGTCCACATCAGGTGGCTCATGGTCAGTTTTTACTGATTTAGATGAAGACCCTGCTACATTCTTTGTGCAAAATCCAGAAAAGACAACAATCTGTTATCGAGGGTAAAATTCAAGTGACATGGATAGAATCATAGAATTGTTAGTGTTGGAAAGACCAATGGGATCATCCAGACCAACCATCAACCATGGTTGTGGTGGTGATGATGACATGGGACATGGTTTAGTTAGCATGGTGGTGATGGGTTGACGGTTGGTCTGGATGATCTCATTGATCTTTCCAACATTAATGATTCTGTGATTCTATTTGTCAGGGATAGCATCGAGCAATTGGTGGGACAGCATGTTTGGACATGGTTGAAGAGCAGAAACGCATTCCCACATCTTTGCAGTAGGACTAAGGGATTTTTTTCCTTGTTTCAAGGTTTACTCTGGTTTTCAGTGAACTGGTTTCCTATATTCCTCATACTCCTTTACATAACTCATGTAGCCCTGCTCTCTTCCAGTGGCAAGAACTTCGTGAGCACCTCAGAGCTCATCCGTCTGCCAGACGACTGCACCATAGGTTACATCATTGAGTGCAAAGTTGGTGGGCAGCTGCTGCCCAACATGCTCTTCCACTCCCACCTGGAGAATCTGCAACTCATCCCCAGCTCTCATCTCATGCAGCAGGTGAGCAACAGAAACAAGAGAAATGTTTGAGAGAAAGGGGAGGTGGAAAAAGGCGTGGGGGACGTTGCCTGTTGGTGGCAGTGATGTGAATTGAAACAATTGTCCACACTTCTGAAGATATTTTGCCAACGAGTGCTTCCTTGCAGTAAGGAGCAGATGTTGCCTGCAGCACAGATGCCAATTGCTGTGTATTGGTGGTGGGTAGCATGTCTAGAGGGAGTGAGGGGAGGATGGGGGCAGACCTTGGAGGGATCATAGTATCAGGGCAAGGAGAAACGCTGACTGGTTGGGAAAGATTTTTGCACCATGTCTGCCTTGCATGGGCAGATAACAGATGGTGTAGGTGACTCACATGGTGGACCATAGAATCATAGAATCATAGAATGGTTTGGGTTGGAAGGGACCTTTAAGATCATCCAGTTCCAGCCCCTCCTGCTATAGGCAGGGATACTTCCCTCTAGATCAGGTTGGTCAAAGGCCCATCCAGCCTAGCCTTGAATGCTTCTAGGGCTGGAGGCATTTACAGTATTACATCATGGAAAGGAGGAGAGGAGAATTGGAAAGCAGGGGCCAAGCCACCAGAGATGGAATGAGAGTGGGAGATTTTGTCACTCAAAGCAGATTCCTGAACACATCACCCTCCCTGCTCCTTTCTCCCTTTCTCTCTTTTCAGGTCACACTCAGCTATGGTGTCTTCGAGAACAAGCTCAACGTTATCAAACTCAGCGGTCCCTTCTCACCCCAGGAAGATCCCTCAAGGTAGGGGTGTGAGTGCTCAGTGCACTGCTGAGGTTTGAGCTGTAGGACAGCAGGGTGGCAGGTACAGGCTGCTAAATAGGGGGCAGGAGGTCTAGAGTGAGGGACAAAAGCCTTGCAGTAGCAGGTCTTGTTGAGTGAGGGTCACACCAACATTAAGATGTTTGCAAACACACATTTTGCAAACCACTTTGGATGAAAGGAAAGAAAATAAGTATTATAACATTTTATTTGAACAGCTACTGAGCCAAAAGTTTTGCCATTCATTTCACACACAAAAAAAACAAGCTAACCTTTTACCTCTGGGACAGGAACTGAAATGTTCTTCTAAACACAGGAGAGGAAATTCTGCTTTATTTTACTTTCTTTGTTTTGGTGAGAAAATTGAAGGAAGAAAAGAAAAAGGTTTGCTTCAGGATAACTGCAAACAAAAGTGCTCTTTCATTTACTTGCTCTGCTTTGAGTGAACAAACCTGAAGTTGTTATTTGCAGAACTTGGGTAGGAAGCTTCTGGCTGGAGATAGAAGGGGTGGGAAGTAACCACACAATTAAAAGGGCATCTACAGAGCAGTTTAGCAGGGTCTGGTGCAGTCCCCATCTCACTGAATGCAATCAGGTTGAGCAGTGAGTTGGGCTCCATGGTCCATAGCAGGATTCAGGTGTTGGAGGAAAGCTTGGCTGCTCAGCTTTGCCAAATCAAGACTTTGTAAGATGAGCCGGTCCCAGAGCACTGTAATGTAGGGTGAACATCTGATGTGGGACGTGACACAAGACAGAAGCCTTCCACTCCCCACCTTGTTCTGCAGTAAAAACTGCCACATGCTGTTCCTTCACTCTTTCCCCTGCAGGTTTCGATCTCTCCACTGCCATCTCTATCCTGCTACCCCCTGGTGCCTTCAGGCTGTTGGTTGGTGATGCCCAAGCTACAGTGAGTCCTGGTGTTATCCCTTCAGCTTGTGCATGTAGGGGATGGGGCACTGAAGAAGCTTTGTGCTCCCAGCTTCCCCTTACTTATGGTGGTTGGGGCTTTTTGGTCCTTGCTGAGTACCAGTGATACAGGAGAAGAGAGATCTGTACCAAAGATGGATAACGTGGGCTGGACACGTGGATGGGCTTCCCATCTGTGCTGGGATGCTTATGAAAGATGAGAGAAGCATGCTTTCCTGAGCAGATTAAGGACTGGGTGGTGACTGCTGGGCATGTGGGTAGAGATGGGACCCACTGCTCCTTGTTGTGGTTTCACTGTATTGAATCAGAAGGATGCTGGATCAGGGTACCCAGTGCCTGACTGAGGATCACTGGAAGTGTGCCTTGGCTTCAGTCTCTGAGGCTTCTTTCTCTGTATGTGCCTGGGCTTCCCCCATTTCCCACTGTTCCCAGCTGCAGCCCTTTGGCTGAGTCTCTGCCTCGTTAAACTCTGATTCCACTCTCCCTTCAGAAATGGAAAATGTGATCATTTCTGTGCTGAATGAGTGCTGAAAAAACAAAGCTCTTGGCCATCAGAGGGGAGGTAGGCAAGAAATGTAAGAAATCAAGAATCTCTCCTTGGCTGGGACAAATGGGGAATGTACAAAGTACGAAATGGGGATCATGGAAGGAGAGATGGAGATGAGGATGTTTTCTGCTCTAAACACTGAAGACTTGATCTTGTATGGCCCTGCATTATTCCTCTCTTTTTACCTGCTAGATATGGGGTCAGGATAATCTTTTGCTCTAATTATCAACCTGTCGTCTGAGATTAGACTCCAACTCCTACCTGTGAGAGAGGAGACATAAAGGATTAAAACTGGCTGAAAGAGAGGAGAAAGGAAGAGATGGAGAAGGAGCACACGGGAGCGGATTAGAGGTTACACCTTTAAAATCTTCTCTGTGCCCTGACCAAAAAAAATTAAGTCATGAAGGAATGGAAACTGCAGGGCAAAGAGCTTTTTATCTCTGCATTTCTTTCTTCCAGATGCTAAGAGCAGCTTTCTGCCTTCCTGCTGTCCCTGCTAAAGACAACAGGGAGAAGGAGCCAGCCCAAATAGGTTACAGGCTTTCTGGCATGTTTATGGATAACCCCTTTCTCAGCACAGATCCTGCCATGAAAGCGAGACAATTCCACTCAGTGGGGAATGAACTTTGACACCATTTTGTGCCTGTACACATGAATAAATGGCTGGGGGAGAGCAATGCGGGGAAGGCTGGAAGGCAAAGGGGCTGTTTTACATGGCAGGCAGCACCACAATCAGGTATTTCTCTTTAAAGAGTGCTTCAAAACAGACTGCTGGAATCAGAGAGAGATTCCTGTAATCTCTGGTTAAAAGAACACGTGCCCTTTCTCCAAAGAGCTGCTCAGCTTTGATGCTGCTGATTGGACTAAGCCTGCTGCTGGTGGGCTGGCAGAGCCAAGGGCGGACTATCGCCATGCCTCTACCATGCTGGAAACTGGTCACCCTATTTTCCCATCCCACCTCACCCCTCAGACACCAGCATCTCCCCTACAGCTTGCATGAGGCCTAAAGAAAAGGCATCAGAAGGACCTTCTGTCTCATCAAAGAGGGACCTAGAAATGAATGATCACTGTAATTACTGATGAAGAAGAAAGAGGGGGCCTGCGGAGCTGCTTTCCAGCCTGGTCGTTCTTATGAGCTTTAGGCAGTTTGTGAAGCAGCCAAGAACCCCTCTTTCTGCTCTTGCACAATATGTCTTTGAACTGGAAATTCATGCTGAGCAGTGGCAGGAGCTACGTAATGGCAGTGACCATTCTGGGAGAAGTGCAAAGCGCTCCATCTCACTCAGCCGTGTGAGACATGGAGCTCAAAATAGAGACAACCCAGGTATCAAACAATCAGTGCAGCATAAAATAGTCCTACCCAAAGGGCAAATGGTTTTGTTTGAACTCAACTAGAAGAAGAAAAATGCTTTCACGAGAAGAAATAAAGGAAGCTGATATACAGAAGGTAGACCAAATTTTTACATGATCTGATAGTGATAGGACAAGGGGGAATGATTTTAAGATAAAAGAGGGGAGATTTAGGTTAGATGTTAGGTGGGAATTCATTACTCAGAGGGCGGTAAAGCGCTGGCACAGCTGCTCAGAGAAGCTGTGATGCCCCATCCCTGGAGGTGCTCAAGGGCAGGTTGGATGGGGCCCAGGGCAGCCTGAGCTGGTGGGGGCAGCCCTGCCCACAGCAGGGGTTGGGACTGAGTGGGCTGTGAGGTCCCTTCCAACCCAACCACTCTGTGATTCTATGAATCTACGCTACCCAGATATTATCTTTTATCCTCATTCAACTCACAGCTATGCTGTTAATTGAGTCTTGCAGTGAAAATGCCAGTCCTATCTGTGGATATCCTGGTATCAGCCAAAGCACAATGAGATTCGTGTGCCTGAGAAGAAGAAGCTGGTACAGCAGACTCACTGCCCTTCGAAGAAACTGGAAGGTCTTGTTGGATCCTGACCTCAGCTGTTCTGAATTGGCCCAGTGCTTTCAGTAAGGCTGTTCAATGATTTGGGTCCTTGAGTGGCTGCATGGGAACCATTTCAGATGAGGCTTTTATACAGGAGCAGTGCCACTTCTGTGGAAAATATCCTCTTGCATAAGAAAACAGAGAAGAAATGAGGGGATGTCTGGGCAGGGCATCTCTCGGGCTGTAGAGAAATGAATGACAGAAAGGTCCTGATGTACCTGTGAGAGCAATGCACTGGGAAGAAAATTGCTTTTCAGAGTCAACATAAGAAACCACGGCTTCTCCAAGAACAGAGAAACAGCTTAAGGGGACATTCTCCTCTTGAAATCTGATCAGTGTTAAAACCTGAGTTAAAATTAGTTTCAGGAATGGTTCCTGCCCCTGGGGCTTGCTGTCAGATGTTGTGGTTTTACAGTCTCATTTTCCTAGTTTATTAAAATGTTTAGCTGCTTGGGAAAATGAGTAACAATCTCATGTGAAACTTTCCATGGGCTGATCTTTTTTTTTATTCTCCTTCATGATTTTCTGATGTAACAGATTGTAACAGTCAAGAGTTTTTTTGAAAGAGTTCCACTGGGTCTATTAAAATGTTGTGTTTTTCTTTCCTTTTCCCTCTTTCACATTCCCATTTCTCATTGCAGTTTAAAAAAAAAAAAAAAGAAAAAATTCTATCCCAAGAACTAAAAGGGATGGAGACATGGTCTTTTTATTTTACTGGGAAAAATGGGGTCAAAGCCAAAGGTGTTGGCATGACCCTGCTGTTGTACAACATTATGTGTAGCTCTGGATTTCAAGTACAGAGGCCTCAGCTGCCCAACACCATAGCAACGAACACTATTAATGATGTTTAAGCTGTGTACTGAAGATTCAGAGAAAAGGGAAGGAGGGGAAAAAGCCAGTTACAGTATTTGAAATGTAAGGTATTAAGTGGAGCTTTCATGTTAACAATAACTTTTTTTATGCTTTTCCCTGAACTGCAAAGAATTTTTACAAGAAAAGCCCAATTTGACAGGGCAAAAAATGCTAATGACTATCCTTTCTTCAGGGGGAAAACCGAAGTTAGTTGAAATAGGAGGGAAACTGCAATTGTTGCTAAAGGCTTGAAGGGGAGAGAGAAGAATAGTAATGCTATATAATGCTTTTCTGGTGCCAATTCCTCTTAACAGCTCTGCTGTTGAAGGAAAACAGATTTCAGTGGACCAATGGGATCTACTGAGCTTGTACCAAGGCTGCAGCCACAGCTCCCTCCCCAAGCCTCTTGCTAAAGATGCAGCCTTCCAAAGACTAACAGTGTATTAAACAGAAACCAAAGGGCAAGAAATGGGAAGAAAGAGATTGGAAGGAAACTAACAACCAAGCAGTAGAACTTGGAAGAGGTGAGATTGGCTGGCCCCAACTCTCTTCATTTTGTTCTTTTTATTTGCTTGTTTGCTTATTTGTTTGCTTATGAAAAGCTGATATGCCATTTGTACTAAATTCCTCACAGAAGTTTTATCTTAATTTTGAGTCTTTGCCCATGCTTACGATGCAGGTACCTCTTTAAGTGCCTGTGTGTTCAGCAGCACTTTTCATTTATTTCTTTCTGTTATCTCCAATCCCTGAATAAACCCACAGGACAACAGGCTTGTCCTTTTGCACTACTGGCCACCAGGGCTCTACACACTTCTTTTTGACTCCTAGGCCTTATGCCCTTCTTTGGGTGAGGTAGTTGGGTCTAGGTTTTCAAATAACAAAAATGCTTGATCACCTTTTTCTGTATCCATAGTGACACATTTTCATGTCTCATCTACCACACATTCTTTTTCTAATTTCATCTGTATTTCCCCTGTAAATAGTGGGCTCCATATGCAATTAAATCATAGAACTCAAAGCTGAAGGACCATGTGTCCATCACAGCTTTGAATTAGAGGCAACAAACCACACAGTGAGTTTGGCCCCTGCTCTCAGTCAGTGCCAGACATGGGATCTCACACAAAGAATTTCAATCTGGGCTTATGGCTCCACTGAAAAGGATGTGAATGTTGCCATAGACATAATCAAAACTAAGAGCTGTGACAAATATAAATGCCCATTTGTGTTTTCACCAACTACTGCAGGATTTTTCCTATAGATTTTCTACCCAATTACCTGGGATGTTAAAGGAGTTGAGGTCTGAGCTGTTGTCACTCAGCTGGCATTACCTCTTTAAGGCTATTCCTTGAAAGCATGAGTTTTTTTGTCACTCCTGCTTTATCCAGCTTGGACTCCAAGAAGACTGGGAATTCATCTGTATCTCTGTTTGAAATGTGTGTGCTTAATTACAGACCTCTAGAATGGGCTGCTTGCCTATCAGTCATGCTCAAATTGCCTTCCAGGATTTTGCAAGGCTAAGGAGCCTCTTCAGATGTTGTGTCTGACTGCTCCTTGGTTAAACCTCCTTTGGTTTCACTGGGAGCTGCATCTGATTTGTAGAGAACTTTGAGAACAAATTAAACAGAGCACTTTGTACATGGATTTTATGGCCCTAACCCTCCAGCCACTGCTTGAGAAGAATACTGTTGATTTTGGCAGTGTAAGAAAAAGAATTGGAACTAGACAAGGCAATTGAAGGGGGAGAAATGCTGCTATGCTGAACCTCCATTTTCCCTCTCCCATCTCTATAAATGAGGCAGAGACAGAAACTGCAACTGGTGCCCTTGGCCACAGTGCATCAGGTGGAGAATGTGCCTTAAAACATCTGGTGTTGCATCCAACAGACCCAGTCATGAGTCCAGGCCAGCTTGTGCTTGGTGACGGACAGAGAGAAAAATGGTGCCTGCCCCAAAGCCTTACAAGCAGAAGCAGGGTAGAAAAGGCTTATAAAACCAGTGGGATAGTGCTGCCATACCAGAGTAGGGGGAAAAAAGATGATGTTTGGGACAGGGAAGGACAGGAATCACAGAAAAATCTCTCTCTCCACCCACAAATACCATGAAGGAGCTGAAGGATAGGGATGGAGAGGTGAAGGGATAGATAAGTAGCCTGGATAAAGAACCAGAACAAAATCTATGTCCTCTTCATGGCTGTGTTGGCAGCTGATGAATGCTGGCCTGAGGATTGATCCTTTGAGGGTTGGGTGTTCAACAAAAAGAGGGGAAATCTGGAAAGAAAAAGGCAAGAACTGCATCTCCCTCAGTCCACACAATGACCTGTGGCTTTTCACACATTACTACCCCAGTGGCATATCAGGAAATGTGGGGCTTGGAAAAAAGAATCAGTGTTTGCTCTGTGCTGCATGGCTGCTGCCTGGGGACATCCCGGTGCAATTCAGCTCTCACGGGCACTCAGAGAAGCAGGATGCACAGGGAAGACTCTGGCCCTCCTCACTGCCCCACCATTCCCACGTTACCATCAGCTTTGACTGCAATGAGGCTGACTGTAGAGACTGGACAAGCTCCCTCCACTTGTGATGTTTCTTCAAATGTGGGGCAGAAATCTCCACTTTGAGCTCTTGAAGAGGCCAGTTTCTGAAGTCCTGGTATGATCCTTGCAGATGGTCAGGGAAACAGGACCTCTCCATAACCCCCTCTTTTCTCACGGCATTGAGCTAGAGTTGGACAATGTCTGTTTTTAGAAAAAGTGGCAGATTCAACAGCTGAGCTGGTTTTCCAAAGGGATGTATAAAATCAACAGCCTGCCATCTGCTCTATTGTCCTGGAATAGCAGCTTGAAGGGTGAAGGAAGAAGGAAGGAGGGGGAGTGAAAGGAATGAGAAATAGGGGTGGGGGGAGAGAGTGGGAAGGAGGGGAGGAAAAGGCAGCAGAGAGGTGAGGACGATCTTATGGGAGGGGAGAGTGAAGGTGGAGGCTAGAGAAAGGTAGAGAAGGAGGAGAAGCAAAAAAGAAAGCAGTTTGACAGTGGAAGTGGTGAGGGGAGAGGACAAGCATGGGGACAAACAGAGCTTGCTTCTCATCACCCTGCATAGATCCCTGATGACTTCGTGAGCCAGCAAGGTAGGCACCTGCAGCACCCTTGGCCCTGGCTCATGCTGAGCCAAAGCATGACAGCAAAATAAACAAACTGAACTTACTGACCTGGATAATCACTCCCCTTTCACCCACACAGCCCCTTCTGCTTGCCTGCTGTACCCCCTCACCTCCCGGGTTGGCTTTTATTGAGTGCTGCAGGGAAGGCATTGAACTCCAGGTTTGGCAGCAGAGTAAATAACAGCAATATTGGCCTCTCCAGCTCAAGTGGGAGGAGGGGGGGTTTCAATCAAAGGTAAATAACAGTTGGTATTCTCTGACCTTTAATCCAATTTCCTAGAAATGGAAAATAATATTCCAGCATAGATATGTGGTGCTGGTCTACAAAAGAAGGATAACTACTCAGCCAGCTGTTGGGCAAAGCACAGCCAATGAGGCCTGAACTGGGGGAGATGCCACAAGACAAGTAGTTCATCCTTGCTGGCCTGAGACTGTATTACTCTCATCTGACTCCTCCTGGTGTATTTTCCTTGTTTTAATCATCTCCCTAAGTGGAGCTGGGTTGCTGGTGGGTAGCACATTCTCATGAGATATGGACCCAGATTGATGGAGGCTCCCTGATCTGCTCTGAGGATAGGAGAAAATGGCCCCAGCTGATGCCTTGAATCTGCATCCCCAAAGGACATTTTGCTAGAAATTTAAAGTTGGAAAGAAATATTTATGTAG